GAGGAACTATTTAATCCCGTGCCGACTAAAATAATATACTGTTACGGCATATATCAGAAGGAATTCGAAGAAATGTTGCAGACAGTTCCCAATTTAACTCTCGTGGAAGGATTTCCCGATAATTTGTGCGAGATGACCCGCGGACATGATAACTCGTTAGTCGTGCTCGATGACTTGATGTCACAATGTTCCAACGATCCACGTGTCTCGGATTTGTTTACACGTGATTCCCATCACCTTGGCATGTCCGTGCTGTACCTTACACAGAATTTGTTCCCACCGGGCGAACGTTCTCGAACGATTAGTTTGAATAGTCACGTTCTCGTCGTGTTTAGAAACCCACGTGACTCGCTAGGTGTTTCCACACTTGCCAGGCAGATGTTTCCTAAACATACCGGATACCTTCTGGAGGCATTTCACGATGCGACGAGCAGGCTTTACGGATATTTAGTCATCGATTGTCATCAGCTGACACCAGAGAACATGCGTCTGAGGACCAGCATTTTACCCGAAGAGAGACAGATTGTTTACGTGAAACGTACTTAAACTACGTGTGTTATGGAAAGTCATCATTTGCAAGATGTCAAAGCGCATGAAAGGAAGTCTTCCTTATCTTCAAGTCATTGTCAAATCTAAACCTAAATTGCGAAAATTACTCATTGATAACGTTCCAGCGAATGTCATCACAGCTATTTGTGAGTGTTCCTTGAATTTGCTTAAAGGTGTCATTCCGGTAACACCTCGGCAAAAGCGACGTTTAGCGCGTTACAAGACACATCTCCGGGATCTGGCCAGTAAGAAAGTATCGAGAAAACGGAAGAAATTGTACCTTAATCAAAAAGGTGGAAATTTATTGTCAGCTCTCTTACCACCCGTGTTGAGTATACTCGGAAGTTTGTTAGTATGAAGCATGCGAAACGCATGGTATTGGTCCCGGAGGACGTGCTTAATCGTTATGAGCAGAAACAAAAGATTGAGACCTCCCCAATTACAGCCAACATGATAATAATAATAATAAAAATCTTTATTTTGGTAATCCTTAGACACAACAGACGTGTGTCTTTACATGATTTTAGTTACAATTTTAAAATATACTATTTACTATATTTACAATATTAATGTAATAATTTAAGATAATTTATACGCATGCAACAAAAACTAAAAATAATCAAACAGACACCTATTTACAAAGGAACGCTTAAATCTATCAGTTCTGACTTGAGGTAGGATGAAAGGATGATCACGTTTTCTTAAATTTTTTTGTCTTTTTTCAGGCAGTAGTTCATATAAAATATGTTCTGGATTATCTAAAATCCTATTGAATAGAATTCTGTCTCTCGTTTCAATCAGCTCAGACATTTTATACTCTTTCAGTACATAACCATATCGATACGCTCGCTTAAAAAACTTGTCAATGCGTTCTAAATATTTCTTTTGAAGAGCTGAGCCCCAAATTTCAATACCGTATAAATGTCCAGGATACGGCGATGTCAGAGATTCTCCAATGATGCACCAGGATACGGCGATGTCAGAGATTCTCCAGAGTACAGACATATCCGATGCCGAAAAACAGAAATTGTACAATGCGAACATGGAAAGTTATCTGAGTTTGAGGCGGCAGAAGGACGATCAGATACCTACAGTCCGCATAGCAACGGATGCGGAACAGAAGTCCAAAGAGAGAGCGCCTTTATCTGACGCGGACGTGATCGGTCATTTACCTGTAACCCTGCGCCAGAAAGCCGCAACTCTTTTGGGACGTTTGAAAGCAAGACCCGACGTTATTTCCTGGGACGAATCTGGTCAAGTTAAAGTGGACGGTAAGGAGATTCCTGATTCGAATATATCGGATTTGGCGAGTGATGCCATGCGGGCACGTAAGAATTTTAATCCCAAGGGAGCGCAGGAATTCTTTCGCGGACTGTCAAAGCTTAATGTACCCAAAAATATTGCAAGAAACACGGAAAGATGGGATCAGGTTCAGATGGGCAGTCCGTCCGGCGCGGAAGAGGCTGTTTTTAAGACACCGCCACCGAGACCACCGCCACCAACATCACCACGTGCAAGTCCCGCGAAATATCTCCGTGGTTTACTCAGAAGACAGGCGGCGAAACCAAAACAATGGCTTCCTTATTAAAAATGTTGTAACTGTTTGCATGTAATAATAAAATGTTTTTAAAACCAATTTTGTATTGAAGACAGTTCTTTGGGGAGGTATTTTTATGCACGGTTCGCATGTGGGACGTGAGTTTGTACGCATGCGCAGAATAAAAAGAACACACTACAGTTTTTTACAACAATTTTATTGAAAACATCTTTTTACTGAACTGGTTAAGGTTAACATTGGAATGTTTTAACAATACCTTAAAATGCCTCTTAACAAACTGGGATACCTTTGTATCATTTAAAATCGTATCATTGTTAAATAAATGTACGATACTACTCATGCTCTGACCTCTTACTCTATGGCTAAGGTAAAATATGCAATACTGTCCACATACATCCGACCAAGCACTTTGCAATTTACGTCTATTAAAATCCCATGCGCGAGACTTTAAAAAGTCTCCAAACGATTTCCTATAGTACTCGGGTGCATGTCCGTAACTGTCAAAGAATTCTCCTTTCTCTTCCGATGGAAAGTAGAAGGCGACCCAGTGGGTACCGGGCTTGCTGCTCGGGTCTGTGTTCGCTACGAATCCACACGGATATCTGTCCATCGTCTGAGGTAGCCTGTCGCTAGGGAATAAGCCACAAAACTTCTTGCTTGTTACGGGATCTTGTTCCAAGGCATGGGTTGTCTGGGCAGTGTTCATCCAGAGTAATCGTAGACAACGTTTCTTTCAGAATCGATGTGCACGGTATTCTCCAACTCTCCGTAGCATACGAGACTCACAGCATTTGCAGGCGCTGCGGAGAACTGGATATCAATGGCTAAATTTCCTTTCTGCACCACTTTAAAATGAGGAGAGGCTCCACACATGTCCGGTGTAAGGTCAAACGCGTACACGGCGTAACCTTTGGGGAATTCGTCTCGAGACATATCGTTTCCTGTGTTGTGATACATTTTCCCCGTACCGGAAAACAGGGTGCTGAATGCTTCGATGTATTTAGGTGCTGCACCATAGGAAAGCTGCAAGGGTTTAAATGGCATTTCTTCTCCGTTCACGATTATTCCAATGGAAGATACGTTGAAATGTTGGAAGTTGTACGGATTCTTTTTCAAAGCACCGTTAAACGCGTCGCTTTCGACCAATCCGAAGACATATGTTTTCGGTACCAATCCATTGAAAAGGTTATCTTTTCTCAGGGAGGGATTTCCTGCGGGAACGATGAAACTCTTGCATTCGACGCGGCGGATAGGATAGATGGCCGGTCCTTTTTTCAACGCGATTTCATGGGCCACCGAAATGCTTGGATTGACTTTCACTTTACGTATCTTGAGATAAGCATCGGTGAGTTTCACCCGGAAATCGGCATCGTCCTCGGAGGCCATCAAACAGAACTCGTCGCTGCTTCGATTGAAAATAACTTTCAGATCTATGTAACTCAACAAGAGACGTTCGGACATGAATATGTCGCTGAATATGGGGCCAGTCATTTCAACAGTTCCACTTGCTTTGCTGAAAACGTATCTTGCTCTGAGTCCAGCATTGCCATTACCACCTGCCACCGTAGGATCCGCGACATCCATTTTTCCTGCAGCGTCTTTGTAATACAACGCAGCAGCGAGCTGTGAATCTTTTGCAGAGGGACCGTAATTCAGAAGGGTTTCCAAGTAAGCACGGTATGCATAGGTTCCGGTAGCCTGTGTGACTTGCTTCCCTTTCAAAAAGACATCCACCTGTTTGAACAGGCTGTGGAGGAAATTGTTCACCACTCCAACCTTAAACAGATTAGAAGGAAATTAATATTTGAAAACGCTGTATTCAATATGAAAAACACCATACCTTTTCGGCTGCTCCGAGATTCGTGCCATCGGGTTTTGTCACTTTCGCTCTCACCACGAGAATCGTTCTAGCAAGGTCCACATAATCTTCAGTGCCTGGAGACAGGAACGTGATGACACCACCATCCGTTACACTGGAGACGGGCTGATGATCTACCCAGTGTCCTTTCTCTAAACTGATCTGTGTTGGGGGCACAGAGAATAGATCGAGTTCGCTTTTTGTGCATTCTTGCGATTTGGAATGTACGAAATTCATGGTTTTAACCAAATATGTCTTGAGCTGTTTTCCGTTTCTTGGTCGGACTGCGTTTGGCTGTAGATGTCGATGCCTTTCTCTTTTTAGCTGTTCGCTTTGCACTTATCGAGCGCTTTGCACGTTTTCCACTTCCCGTTTGACCCATCAATTTGTTCATAGCTTTTCTTTTCGCAACGTTCGCGGCCTCTACGGTTCGTGCTTTTGCCGCTTCTTTGACGTTTCTACCGGCGAGAACATCGCCCACAAAGTCTGTCCCACTTTTTAGAGCAATGTTTCCAAGAGCTTTTGCACCGGTTTTGATCAAAGGCATGGCTTTTCTTGCAAGAGTACGGAACAGTCCTCCCAGCCCGTACCCTACCTGCCAGGGGCTGCCTCTGAACACTGGCATACCACGCCCTTGCTGTTGATCCAGGTAATAACGTACGTAAGGATTATTCATCTTCCTCAAGTGAAGTATGTATGCTGTCTGAAATGTAGTGTCGCTACCACCTTACCCCGTTCAAATGGCACTGGATCGCCCGTGTCGTTCCTTAAAAGAACTTTCACGTCTCCGAAGGATTTCGTTTGAACAGGCACGTATTGTAGATAGATAGATAGATGAATCGTTTATTAAATCAATTATTGCAGTCAAATGACTGAATTACAATTGGTTGTTATAAAATTTATAAATACATAGTACTAATGTTTAAAAAAAATTGTTATATATATATATGTATATATACATTCAAATATTTAAAATAAGTTTTTATTTCCTTTCGTGATGCGTACTCAAGGATAAAAGAGTCCTTAAATCTACTTGTCCTAATCGTTGGGAGATTATATTTCTTAATTGTTCTGAAGTTATAACCAGCCTTATTCATTTCTGGTAAAAGTCCGTGAAGTTTGTGATCTTCATTTTCTTCAATTTCACGAAACAGTTTTTCACATAGTTTCTCTCTACGGTCGTTTAGTCTTTCTAGGTTTCCCATTTCCAACGCTTCACTATAATCCACGTAAGGGTAAATAATTCTTAGGGCTCTTTTCTGAATTTGTTCAATTTCTTTTGAAAGATAATTAGGAAGACCTGAGTGAAAGGCCTGACAAGCGTATTCAAGGACAGATCTGATACAGGCGCAGTAGAATTTGATCAATGAATTAGTATCGACATTCGCACGTTTTAACTGTTTCAGGAGATAAAGTCGTTTGGAAGCTTTTAATAAAATATTTGCCACATGGACATTCCATTTTAAATCATCGGTAATAGTCATTCCTAAGATTTTTGCGGATGTTACCACTTTGAAATGTTTATCATTTACTTTGACTGGTTCGTCTCTGCAAGGGTCTTTAGTAAAATTTATTCTAAGTTCTTTGCATTTTCCAGAATTTAATTGAAATTTGTTATTATTTGACCAATTAGCCACTTGATCAACTATATCTTGTAAATTGCTATTTTCAGTTCTAGGGATGACCTCCAAAATTGTGGAATCATCAGCGAATTTCCACATCTTGTTTGTTGAATTCTCTGAAACGTTCAAATCGTTTATCATAATGAGGAACAACCATGGTGCTAATTTGGTCCCTTGAGGTACCCCTGCCTGGACTTGCAGTATATTGGAATGGCACTTATAATTCAACTTAATTCTTTGGGTACGCTTATATAAGAAGTCTGTAATCCAATTAGTGACTGATGGTTTAATTCCGTAGTTAATAAGTTTTGATATAAGAAGGGTATGGTCCACCAAGTCAAAAGCTTTCCTAAAGTCTAATAAGGCAACTTTCACTGTAGAACCTGTTCCATCTGTTGCGGCCAACCAGTTATGTAGCATTGAGATAATTGCATGAGTTGTACATGATTTAGGAATGAAGCCAAATTGGTGGGGACCTATTTTCTGTAAAATTTTAGGTTTCAGTTCGAGGTCGATTACAAACCCTTCCGCGATTTTCGATAGTGTAGACGTCAACGATATTGGTCTCAGGTCTTTGTTGAAATCAGTTATGCTCGATGTTTTAGGGATGGGTGATACGCCAGCCATCTTCCATGCCTGTGGAACCGCACAGTTACGAAATGAACAATTTAAAATGTCTGTAATGGCTGGAGCTAAGATATCAGCATATATTTTTAATACCCAATTTGGAAGTTTGTCTGGACCATTTGTTCTGGATATACTTATTTTGCGTAACTTCTGCTGAACAGATGTTAGGCTAACTTGTATAGGGTCATCTTCCTCTTGGGTTACATGGGCATCGTCTGTTACAGGGGTATAATCTTTTGTGACACTAATAAAGGCTTCGTTTATCATATTAGCTAGTACTTGGTCGGAACAATCGTTGTTTATCCTTAGGATAGAACGTAGATCTTTACGGTTTGTTGTTTTGCAGCCACAGAGTTGTTTTATTTCGCACCACCATTGACTAGGTTTAGTATTTTTGAGATCCTGCACTTTAGTTTTATAATATATTTCACGGCATCGTTTTCTTTCACGATTGACTTTATTTCGTAGGAGTGAGAACAAAGGTTTGTTACCCGTTGCAAATGCCTTCTGTCTTTTATTGATAAGTCGTTTCAAATTATTTGTCATCCACGGACGGTCAGTAGCATGCACTTTGATAGATCTTTCTGGCATAATAGTGTTCAGTCCGTAGTTTACTATGTCGGTAAAAATTGAGAGTTTTTCACAAGGAGATTGAACTGATGATAAAATATCTTCAAATGGAACGTTCTGGAAAAACCGGCCAAGACTGGAGATATTACTTCTTCTTTTATCGCGCACTTTTATTATTTTCTTTTCGGACACTGATTTTTGTCGTATAGCTGGGAAAATGGTTATTTGGTAAACGTTTTCGTAACGATTTCGCCATACTTTCCTTGGACGGGAATGCTTCGAAGTAATTGCGCACTCGTATCTCCAACGATCTGAGGCTGAACCGTTTTGTCAATTTTCACCTCTTTTCCACCGAATCCCAGGATAAGGGACAATTTGTCGAATAAAAAGAGTTTGCATTTGGGTTTCAAGTGAACGGTCACTTTTCCCGTTAAGGCATTGTACGTTAGATATATGTCAGTATTATTACCGATCTCTTGTTTCAAAGCATTGTTCATACCTTTAGTAAACTCTTCCATAGTTTTATAGTGTCCGTACTTTATGGCCGCAGATGATATCCATCTATCGGTAGAACCCAAATAAAGGAAGTGAGTGTCCGCACTAATATCCCGCAGGGTATACTATGTGTGGGGATAGGAAATGGAATACAGTCCGACTTCCCAATTGCCATCCAAATCAATGGGTTGTGGTAATTTTACACGATATTCGGTCGTTTTGTTATCGGGAAAAACGTCCAGGGACGCATTGCTCGAAAGCGTGAGGTAAAAATGTGTTCCGCTCATGATGAATCCCCGATGAGAATAACAGACAAACAGCACGTTCAACGGTTTAAATCTTATTTATTTCAGAAGCGGGTACCCACGAATTAAATTTATTGGGGTACCCTAACCATTTTACAAGATAATGTACATTATTGCCTCGTCCACGTTTCTTCAAAACTTTCTCAATTTCGTAGACGTCATCTTCCTTAATGATCTTTTGCAACTCTTTCTCGTAAAATGTTCCTTTGAGTTCTTCACCGTCCAGATCCTTTAGTTTGTACACAGGAGGATCACGAGGTATTTGTTTGGTTATAGTGAAGATCTCTTTGGAGAAATTCGGCAAGTATCCCTTTTCAAATGTTCGTTTCATCTTGCTAATTCTCACTTGATCACCGACCTTGAATTTGTACTTTACATTTTTCACAACGTTATGATCATCATACAGAGTGTGCCACACTTTCTTCTCGTTCTCAGCAGTAACGTCCGCGGGTCTTGTCTTGATGCTACGGTGAACACTATGGTTGTAGGAATAGACCATGTCGGGTAACATGTCTATGTATCGCATGGTTTTCTTGTAAAATAGCGCCACATTTTGGGTTTTAGAGTACGAATCAGACGTTCCACGATAGAAGCTTTCGTGTTATTGTACGTATTGTACAGTTCGATGTCTTCTTCTTTCATCAACGCTCGGAAATGTTTGTTTAGAAACTCTGTTCCTTGATCTGTCATGATCTTTTCGGGTTTGCGTCCAGACGTTAAAATGACTTTGAAAGCTTCGACCAGCGCAGGACCTGTTTTGTTTTTCAACGGGACTACCCATGCATACGTGGAAAAAACATCGATGCAGACAAGTAAATAGCGATAACCATCGTTAAACTTCTGCATGGATTGCAAATCCGCCAGATCCATTTGCTTTTCCTGATCAATACCCCCCACGATGACACGGTTTCGTTTAAAGTGGCGACGCATGGGTTTATGCAATGTGTACGCATCTTGTTTCATTAACCATTCCTTAATTTCTTTACGACTTATCGCAAACTTTCCTTCTTTTTTAACATCCTGGTACAAACGATCCACTCCGCCAAATCCTCCGGGCCTTTTCGGATCGGAATAAACGCTAGATAAGTAGTCATCCATGTTCACACGTGAAATGAAGGAATCCTTTCATTCTTCAACGTTTTGAATATTATCCTCCTGGGTCTTTTCAGCGGGATTGTAATTTTTAACGGTTTTACTACAGTATCCCATTTGTACATGCCCCTCGAGATTTAGATCGTTTCGTCCTACACTTATGCCGATTCTAAACATTTTCTGTTTATTATGATTCTTTTCGACCTTCGGATTTTTACTAGCAGAGTGTCCCATGACGTACACTCGAATATGAAAAGGTTCCTGAAGGTACACGCGTGTATAAATGCTTTTTCCATCGGGAAGGAACATTCATTACTTTCGATCAGACAAAGAGTAAACATGTCTAAACCTATCGATATCGATAATAGGGAACTTATTTTCTATTACCGCCAAAAACGTATCGTCGAAAAACTTCTAAAAGTTTCCGCGGAAGAAATCGCTCCTATCATCTCTCAGCTCGTTGTTGAAAATTGTAACGGTTGCATGACAGAGCATCTGTCCCAGACGCATCACCAGTGTCTTACGATGGAAAGAGACGAACGGTTATGTCTATACTTTGATCATGCTCTGGAAAAGGCTTCGGAAACAGAAGTGATGGAGGCCTTTACTGAAAGTCTGAGTGATACGAAAGTACATGATTTCGAATTGCTTGAGTATACGGCGGACGATTGGAAAACTATCTTTTGCGCGAAACACAGGCGAGCATTGAAACACGTGATCTTTCAGTTATTGTAACTTACATATTATTCCGTAATCAAAACCTATAAAGGATACTGGCTCTTTAGTTCCCTAATCATTTGAAGCAAACATGACTTGGAGAAACATTGTCACTCACTGGCTCTCGGACAAAATTATTATGCAAGAGGGAAATTTGGCAACTTTGGATTTGATGAAACTTTTGATAGAGAAGAATATAATACCAGCAACACTTATTGACAATGCGACGTTGCACTCCATTATGTTGACACAAATCATATTGGAAACATTAATGGGTATAACGGTACCCCGGGGCCCCCAGGGGAACACCTTTACCTACCAGATGAACGCTAGAGAAAATCTGAGAAATGATGATGTGGGACATGGCCAGAAAAAAAAGAAAAGCAGATCGATGCACTGGAGAAAGAAACGGGGGTGAATCTGGATCATTACCACAAACTGAACATTAAAAATTAACATTGAGATCAAACCGTCTTTGTAAAAATATTTATTTCAACTGTAATGAACAACTGTTATGTCTTAGTACCCATAAGGTAATGTTCTGTAATCATCCATAATTACACGTTCATTATAAACTATTCTATAGTCCTTTTTCATACGCTTCGTTTCAATTTCCTTGGTCCGGGTATTTCTTGTGATTCTAAACGGAATGTCCACAGACACTTGCCCCGTCACTTGACATTTAGCATGTAAATACACCAGTCCACGAATCACCTCGAAGTTCACCTTCTGCCTCGCCGTGCAGTCTAGAGTGATTCCACGCACTTTGGTCTCAACTTTACCACTATTCGTACGGTAGCAATAATTTTTCGGACCGCCCGACGCAAACACAGTAATGTATTCGCCTCCCAGTTCATCGGTTAATTCGCCGAGATGGTTGCCCAAGGGAGGTTCGGGTTCATTGAGTTTGCTGACAAAAATCACTGAGTCGGTATCGTAATACATCACTCTCTCTTGCAACATGTCCAACACGCCGTAAAGCTTGAGACGGGCATAGGCGGTGGTGAAAGCAGCAATGACCACGTTGGTCTTGGCATCGGGTTTGATAAAATTGTCCGTATACTCGTACCGGATTTCGATGATGTCGTCACTCACTAAATCGGCATCAAGCACGTTGATCTCATCAGAAGTGAGGTAGTCAAAGAATACTTGTGGATCTTTTATCTGCTCGGTTTTAACTATGTTGGGTCGTTGTGCAAATTTACCTAAACGAGAAACTGTTAAGTATCATGTAAAGGAAACATATCAGTGAAAGCATAGTACTCACCCCAGAACGAATTCAACATCAGTTTCGCCAGAGCGCGTAAGCCAGGATTGTATTCGATCTTGTGGGGATCTAAATGGATTCCCGACTTCCCAAAGTACTCGTTCACGTAATGTTGTCTCTGCTCTTCGGTGACACTATCTTTCGGGTACCCACTCGCCTCCTGTTTAATTTTCAGGAATTTCAATATAGTCCTTGAACAGGTCATCCGAGGTTTCGGGAAAGTGCCACACTTCATGAATCTGTACGATTTGATAACCTTTCTCCAGCGCTTTCTCCAGCTCCACGCTACACCATGTACCCTGAATGGCTCTTTCACGGTCGGCATGGCCGCAGGGAGTCTGGCTACAGGCATCGGCACAGGTCCTGCAAAGCGCAAACATCAACTTGCCCTGGGTGCGATAAGGAAGAACAGGGTGGAACAAACCTCGAGGTGGAAGCACTGTGCATTTGACCAGACCAAAATAGGTGGAAATGCCGCCAAATTTCTCGGTGATGATGCGCGGATGTCCCACAACCGTTCGCGTCATTTTATTGCACCAGGGTTAAAGGCTTGTAAAATCCACATATCTAGAATGACGTAAGACATGACGTCATACATGACGTAGTAAAACATGACGTCATACATAACGTAAAAACATAACGTCCAAAATTTTTTTCGTCCTACCTTATTTTCTCATCATCATTACACTCATGGTAAAGTCTCGACGCGTTGGTTCGTCCCCCGTATAGGGCATCACGAGGTTCCAAGGGATCGACTCCATCATATTGATCAAAGTAATATTTCATGTCTTCATTATCTGCCAATTCCCGATTGATTCTACATTCCCAAACTTCTACCACGTTGTAGCCTTGATTTTTCAAATACTGTATCTTTTCCACGGTTTTTTGATGAAGATCGTGCATGGTTTTACCTTTGACAGGATTCATCGTGTCGCGAGTGTAACAGTTTATACATCCTTTAAGAAATAATCAAAAATACTATTCTAAATACTATTCTAAGGGGCGTCTATTCGAGGGAGGCGTTTATTCAAACACTTACCATGCCAGAAACATCCATGAACTTCATAGGCCGTGTGGGTTTCTTCGTGATAACCGTCCAGCAAATACCAACCAACACGCTTCTCTCCTCCATTACGATTATGCTGTATGTCAATTTCGTTTCGTTCGGCCGTATACGACAACCATTTTTGTGCAAGAAGGGACTGGACGTTCTCGGGACAGTAACCGCGTAGTGGGATGATGGCAATGGTGTTCTCTTCAAGGTAATTGGTCCGATACACTAGATTACACGCGGACGCAATGGTGAGGCATTTCTCAAAGGGATCGATGCCTGTGACGTTACGGAACAGTTCGCGAAACTCCAAGCAACAACGCCGTAGAATATCCACATCGGAACGACAATAAGCAAGAATTTCCTCTTTGAAGTTGAACACGTATTCGTTGTCCTTCAAATTTCTATGCCAATGTAAAAACGTTTCCTTCGCTGCAGGACTCATTCCGTTCGGGTTGTAGTAGGGAGTGGGTGGGATCGGTCCCACATAATTTTCATTTTCTTTCTTGTTGAAAAGATGCGGAAAGTACCCCTTTGCGAGTTCGTCGATACCAAAGGTTTTTGGAAAATCTGCTAATCTCATTGGGATAAAGTTCAAGGAGTCGATACATTTTATCTTGAACATGTCCACAGATAAGGAAAGCACTTTAGCACCGCGCATGATGACATCGTACTTGACACCGTTCTCCCGTAAGTATTGGAGAATAAAGTAACTGTCGTACCCCTGGAAATTGTGAGCCATCACCACACAATTTGCCCGTTCCTTTTGAAATAACCATTCACAAAACTCGTTCCGTGTGTTATCCCCTTCAAATACCCATTCGTCACCGGCTTCGTTCTGAATCACACATAAACTGGGCTCGTGATTTCCATTTTCCTGACGACACTCGAAATCAAAGAATAACATTTGGTCGTACCCGCCTTCCGTAACATCATCCTCAGGGTGCTCAGACGAATCGTCACTGTCCGATAAACCTTCGTTTCGTTTTTCCACGGGCTGCATGTAACACCGATGGTCGCCGGGTCGAGTGTATTCTTTACATATTAAGCATTTTGTCATGCCACAATGGTGTTTCTCGGAATCTCTCGGACCTCGTTTGATAAGTCTATGACAGTCAGGACATTTAATCATCGTCGCACAGATCGATTTTCCGCTTGACTGTTTATGCCGATCGAAACACGCTTGACTTTTGAACATCCGGTTACAGTCATTGCAGCGACCCCAGGACTCAACGGGACAGTCGGGAAAGCGACAACATGAACAGGCATTCGGGCATAGGTGATCTTCTCGATGATCATAAGCTTTCTTGCATGTATGGCAATACTTTTTACGAGCGAAAAACCCTGGCATTTTGGTAATAACGTCGTAATGATTATCGTAAAGGTACAGATCTCTTTTCCTGATCGGGGCCAGTATAAATACGAGCGTTCTGATGATCTTTGGACACAATATTAATCTGGTAATTGGAAAGGTACGTCTGAAACTGTTTGACTTCATCCAAACCGCAAGGACCCAAAGGAACGGCAGCATTCTGGTGTAATTCACGAGCCAAACGGGTTTGCATAGCCCGGCGACGATTAACAATGCTCGTATACTGGAGATCGTTATCAATTTTGGCTTTCGCAACAACCAGGGCCCTCGCCAAACAAAGTTGATCATTGTTCCGGATCCGTATGATTGAGCGTTTCTTCATTAAATGCTTTTCCAAATTAATTTCAGCTCGCTTCGTATGCCTGCCTCCATGAGGCATTTCCACATGAACAATATTGACATCCACACTTTCGTTGAGACGAAAATGGTGATTGGATCACGCGTTCGAACTCTGCCAACACACGTGAATGCAGCTGGACGAAACGTACTTGGTCATGAGGAGGAACGCCGTGCGTAACTTCATTAAGCAAGCCTTGAAATATTTCATGCAGCCTTTCATGATATTCGGAAAGCTCCACATTCGCAAATGCATTCGTAAATTGAATATGATAATCCATACCCGGGGTTTTGAACTTTTTCACATTAACTTGTTTCACACTCTGCACCATAAAAACGTTGTCGCTAACCTCGTTCCCTTCTTGTCCAGGTTCATTATCAACGTTGCTCGTCTCTTCAAAAGATCTTTTCTGTCCGCGACCGACTTGTGGTTCATCGCTGCTCATCCCTTCACAAGATCTTTTCTGTCCGCGACCGACTTGTGGTTCATCGTCATCGCTGCTCATCTCCTCATAAGATCTTTTCTCACCTCAATTAATCTGCATCGGAAGCTCTTCATCTTGCCAATTACGTAGAAAGCTTTCGCGTTGTCCGGGCGTCCAGGTATCTGTAAGATCAGGTACTAGTCCTAACCGTGCGTTTTCCAAACGCCATTCCTTTATCCGCAGAAAAATTTCCATTCTCTTCTCAAACACTAAACATTCTTCCAGTTCACTGAATACGCTTTGACTTTCCAAAGCCAAAAGCTCCGCTATCGTCTGACATTCTTTAATCTTTCTTTCCATATCTAAACAAAAAAACGATTCCCTCAAACAAAATTATTACACAAATACCCTTTAAGTAAATCTAAACATTTACCTGGAAAACAAGCTAGTTGTCAAACAAAATATCCACCAAAGCTCTTTCGATGTAAACAGTATATTTAACCTAACTTCCCTAAGTGAAAACTATGAGCACAATAACGATAATCGCCCGTCTCCTCTATTTATATTATCCATCCAACACAGCTAACCAATCAGGGATGCGTGTGATTATGACGTAATTTGTGTACGTACACCGTGTACGTACACCTAATTTATATTCGTACGCATCAACCAATCAGAGATGAACATGACGTAGTGGTGTACGTACACCGTGTACGTACACCTAATTTATATTCGTACGCATCAACCAATCAGAGATGAACATGACGTAGTGGTGTACGTACACCGTGTACGTACACCTAATTTATATTCGTACGCATCAACCAATCAGAGATGGACATGACGTAGTGGTGTACGTACACCGTGTACGTACACCATACTATATAAAGCAAATCGTCACTATACACAGTCAAAATGAACTCGTGTGAGCAAGTATTCTGGGCAAAGTGTCTGAATGTAGACGAAGTTGTGCTTTGGGAAATCAGAAACCTGTGTAATCTAATGAATGTTATCTTTTCGGAAGCCGTTGACTGTCAAGTCCATAAACTTCGAAAAGAAAAATGCTGTGGTTGTGAAGTAAATCATCCAAGTCAGAAAAGACACGATTGCCTCACGATGTCCGAAGAAGAGGGATGGATAATACATGGATCGGAAGCAGTAAAGCGAGTGATCGAACATCAAACAGTTTCGAAACAATTCACCGAAGCTATACGCGTCATGAAACTAGACCCTCATGAACATGTCATTCAACATTTCAAAAATCTAACCAAAGACCCCGAAACAACCGCCGAATTCCTAAAAGACCTAAAGTTTAAGTCAAACTTTCCTGAATATCAAGCCATTTTGGGATACCTCAGCTACTGGAGCGAAGAACATTAAACGGTTCATAGTTTAAAAACAATATATTTTTTTAAAAATTGTTTATTAACAAAAAGTATATTTAATATTTTACAAGTTATTAAAAAGTTCTCGAAGTTTATCTTTGAGATAGTTCTGATATGCCTTTTGTTCATCTTGTTCCTTGCTCTCGAACCTTTCTTTCTTTCCTTTAACATAATATATAAAGGTAGGGGGACTGCTGAAGAGGCACTCTGCAACAGGTTCCAGTGGATCTGCTTTAGGATTAGACAAATCGCATAGAACTTCGATTAATGATTGATTGTCCCGGTATTCTTGAAATAATGATTCGATCAGCATAAGATCAGGGTTTTCTTCCAAGCTCAACAAGTGTTCCGTGAAATATTTTTCAAACGGAACATTCAGGATTTCAATAACATTACTAAATTCACACCAGACGGCGTAATTAGTTCCGGCTTCCTCTATAGCATCAAAACCATACATCTCCCATTTTTCAAACTCATCCAACATTAAGCAATCTTGGTCACGTATTTTACACCCGCAACAAAACAGGCTAAATTTCCTTTCAATGCTATGTGCAATCACCTTGGCGTATATTATTTCTATCAGACGAAGCTTCTTGTTTGAACCGTTCATTATGGAAACCAATGTGTAAATGAACTTGTATTACTGATCGATTCAAATATACCCCCATCCCTATTCGCTCCTGCAGACTCATTACTTCCGGCGCTCTATTCGCTCCTGCATACTAATTACTTCCGGCGCTCTATTCGCTTCTGCATACTAATTACTTCCGCCGCTATACGGGACTTCCGCCGCTATACGGGACTTCCGCCGCTATACGGGGGGGGGGGTAATACTACTACTAAATTATACTTATTTACAAAATATACTTATTTACTTATTTACAAGATGTAATTATTTAATAGATGATGGACAGATTTTAAACTTGTTGATTCTCTTAGGGTTTTCAACAAGTTTACTGGGATGTAATGATAAATGATAATGATAATGATAATGATAATGAAATTACATTTGTATAGCGCATTTTTCATGTGGATATGTTCTGGTGCGCTTCTTACAGTAATAAATAATATACAAATTATAAATATTAGATAAAAATATATTACAATAATGTTAAGAATTTATAAAAGTATCACAGCGATAACTAGAAGTAAAAATGGAACATGCACAGGCATTAATTAAAAGCTTCTAAGAATAGAAATGTCTTTAGTAACTTTTTAAATGTAGCTGTTGAGGATGCAATCCTGATAGCTTTGGGAAGAGCGTTCCACAAAGTTGGGGCAGCGAGAGAAAATGATCGATCACCCAAGGTCTTAAGAGTTTTAAGTCTGGGGCGTTCTAGTAGACACGGATCAGAGTGGGATCTAAGGTTGTAACTGGTGGGTTTTTTAATTGAGAGGAGCTCTTTAATGTACGTCGGAGCTTGATTGTTTAGGGCCTTGTATGTGATAAGAAGGATTTTAAAGTCGATGCGGGACTTAATCGGGAGCCAATGAAGATGATATAAGACAGGAGTGATATGATCGAACCGAGGAGTATTGCAGATAAGCCGGGCTGCCGCGTTTTGAACAGCTTGTAATTTCCTCAATTGGGTTGAAGGAAGGCCATAAAAAAGACTGTTACAATAGTCCAGGCGGCTTATAACGAAAGCCTGCACAAGAATCTGAGTTGTATGTTGATCGAGGAACTTCCTAATACGTCTAATGTTATAAAGGTGAAAGAAGGCAGCTTTGCAGCATTTAGTAACATGGGTGTCCATTTTCATCTGCGAGTCAAACCAGCAGCCGAGGTTCTTGGCGTTCTCAACACAAGTAACAACATTGCTGCCAACACGAATATTGTTGAAGTCGATTTTTTCGAGTTGTTGCCACGTGCCGATTAGAATTACTTCAGTTTTTCCCTCGTTGAGTTTCAGTCTATTAGCAAGCATCCATCGTTTGATGTCATCAATGCACATCTCAACAGTTCGGACTGCAGTTTCTTGGTCGATACGAGAATCTGCGCGAAACGAGATATAAAGCTGGGTGTCATCGGCATAAGCATGTGCATCTGGTAGGTGACGCTCTATTAACTCAAGTAGTTCGCTTACATAAAGAACGAACAGAAGCGGACCTAGACACGATCCCTGAGGAACACCACAATCAACTTTGAATTTCTCGGAAGACACACCGCCAACTGTAACTCTTTGTGTTCGCTGAGAAAGGTAAGATGTAAACCATTTAAGAACAGTTCCAAATAGACCGAATTTCAATTGCAGGCGCTGAAGTAGGAGAACATGATCGACGGTATCAAACGCAGCACTGAGGTCGAGCAGTACAAGTAAAGTGACGTGTTGCCTATTCATGTTCATAAGTATATCGTTCTTAACACGCAGTAGTGCTGTCTCGGTGCTATGAAATTCTCGATATGCCGATTGATTACCAGGGTACAAATGATGAACTGATAGATGATTATGGGATTGATTGTAAACTGTCCTTTCGACTAGTTTTGAAACGTATGGGAGGTTGGAGATAGGTCGTAGGTTTTCAAATATTACTTCCAAGCCTTGCTTCTTGAGTCTTGGAAATCAAGAAATTCGTTTTTGGTTTAGGTTGAGACAGCTTTAAATTACTACTGCGCAGTACGTAACCATTGTTTTCACAAGTGTGAAATAGTTGTGTTACGTATTCTGGAAGCTTGCCATTAATCGTTTTAAATGTCATAAGGAGATCTCGCTTTTTCAAAATTAAGTCAAGAGGTTTCCAGCTAAGTTTTTGAAAAATGTCCGAAGATCTTATAGTATAGTCCGAATTTGTTATTATTCTTGCTGCTCGTTTCTGAAGCTTATATAATTTGTCTAAGTGTGTTTGGTTGTTATTTTGCCAAACAGTTGAACAGTAGTTAAAATGAGGCGCGACTAATGCGTTATACATAATTTTGAGCGTATCTAGGCCAACAAAATCTTTGGCTTTTCTTAAAAGATTAATATTTTTTGATATCTTGTTGCATTGTTCTTCGGTTCAGTGCACAATAGTTTTAATTATTATCAACATTGTAGCGATTGTAGCCTTTGAAAGTCAAGCGAGATCGCATGTTATCAAATTACACAATTGTCTGAACTCTTTCTCGACGACTTTGTATGTTCATATCTTCGGTGATTTTCGGTTCAGTGCTGGGTTAGTTCAGTGCATGCTTCATTCGATTCAGTGAAAACAATATCAACTAATTCCTCACAATAGTTTAAGTCATTATCAACATTGTGGGGCTATTAGTAAAACACGGAGCACGGAGCATGGAGCACACGGAGCACGGAGCACACGGAGCACGGAGCACACGAAGTACGGAGCAGTAGAAAAACGAAAATCATTTATAATAACATACACTGTTTACTATTACAAATTTTTGTTATTATTAACAAAGTTTTTTCGCGTATTACACGTTGGGGAAGTAGGAAAATGGGGCTTTTACTGAAAAACACATATGATGCAAAACCAGGCTGCCAAAAGCCATAGAATTTAAAATGGATTGTGAAACTCGTTATCTTACATCATCAAGCTTATGTAGTTATATCACATAAAGAAACACTTACTGTAGAGAACAGCCGATATATTTCGTTACCCCTGCCAAAGAATAGCCAAGTATACTCATCTTTCAATGTAGCGGATCGACTGAACACTAAATCTTGTGATGAGAAAAGTGAATTTTCGGTTTATCCTTCGGCTCAGTGACCGGTGGCAGTGAGCTGTACGGCCGGCTAAGTTTAAACCGTTATACAGTTCATCATTACTGCTTTCATTCTTTCAATTCGTTTTGAATATTCGGAATCATTCACAATATTATAAAACTGTATAAGATAGCTGTAGAACTATAAATGCTGTAGAATGAAATAAATAAAGAAAAGTAAGTTTTCAAATCGCGGTATTTGCCGATAAATCGGTAATCGCTACAGAAAAACAGAACAAATTACAGTATTAAAATCACAACAAGCCGCGGAAGTGGGACAATTTTTGTATTTTTACTGTAAGACATGTAGAACATGTACGAAATCCATACAGAAGTGTGTGTGTATTCTATACTTTTGAAACAACTAAATCAGACTTCGGAAAATTTGACCGTATTAAAGCTGCTTTTGGGAATTTAGATTTTAGGTCTTCGTTTTACATGTACCCAGACCAGTAAATATTTTTGAGTTTTGAATTTTGTGTATAAATCAACACCAACGCCTCAAAGGCGAAAAGGAGGGCAAGATTGTTAGAATTGCTATGTTAAACATGAGCAGTTTCGAGGATAAACATAAAATTGAAACGAGTAATTTTTACACATCTGATTGACTAAATTCAGGAAGCCATTTAAGTGTACGCGTATTTGTTACAATTCCGATCAACTCTGCCGTGCAGTACGGCAGAGCCAGAGGCAGAGTAGATTGTAAACAAATTGTAAGCTTGTGAGAATCAAAGTTCAAAACTTAAAAATATTTACTGGGAACATGTAAAACAAAGACCTAAAATCTAAATTCTCAAAAGTAGCTTTAATACTGTCAAATTTTCCAAAGTCTGATTTAGTTGTTTCAAAAGTATAGAACTGATACACACACACTTCTGTATGGATTTCATACATGTTCTGCATGTCTTACAGTAAAAATACAAAATTGTCCCACTTCCGCGGTTTGTTGTGATATACTGTAATTTGTTCTGTTTTTCTGTAGCGGTTACCGATTTGTCGGCAAATACCGCGATAAAACGTAGTTTTCTTTATTTATTCTACAGCATTTATAGTTCTACAGCTATCTTATACAGTTTTATAATATAATAGTGAATGATTCCGAATATTCAAAACGGATTGAAAGAATGAAAGCAGTAATTATGTATAACGGTTTAAACGTAGGCCGTACAGCACACTGCTCACTGGTCACTGGGACGAAGGATAAACCGAAAATTCACTTCTCTCCATGACAAGCTTTTATAATGTTCAGTCGATCCGCTACGTAGAAAGATGAGTACTTGGCTATTTTTTGGCAGGGGTAACGAAATATATCGGCTGTTCTCTAAGTGTTTCTTAATGCGTTGGCCATCGGAATATAATATAACTACATAACTCATAAGCTTGATAGATATGTGACGAGTTTCACAGGCACAATCCTATTTTAAATACTATAGCTTTTGGCAGTTTTGCATCATATGTGCAGTAAAAGCCCCATTTTTCTACTTCCTCAACGTGTAAAACGCGAAAAAACTTTATTAATAAGAACAAAAATTTGTAATAGTAAACAGTGTATTTTATTATAAAGGATTTTCGTTTTTCTACTGCTCCGTAGTTC